CTAGCGGTGGCGGCTCTTTAATTGGAAGCCGGAAGTGAAGCATGTGAGACGGTTTAGCCTCTCATTTCGTTGGTTAGTCCTTTCGCTCGTCTTCACCATAGAGAAGATGAGACCGCCCTGTCGAGAACTAAGCCGCCGGCCGCTGAGGCTGTTGGGAAAGCGGCGGCGTGCCTTGCCTTGCCTTGCCTTGCCTCCGACCGTCTGCGGGGTGGGCGAAGGGCGCGCGGTTAGCGCAGAGGGGCGGCGCGTGAGTGAAGCGAACACCGGAGCCTTTTGCGAAGTCGCGCGGACCGAGAGGAAGCAGGACGGTGCGGCGGCTTCTTGGACACCATGGCGGGCGGGGGCAGTGCTGGCGAGTGGTGCCTCATGGAGAGCGACCCAGGCGTCTTCACGGAGCTCATCAAGGGGTTCGGTGAGGTTTGTGGCTGGGCTGCCATCGCGGCCCCTCTCTGAGGCGGTGGGGCGAAGGAAGCCGAAGGGGGGACTGGCCAAAGCGTCAGATTCGACCCTCATGGGCTCGATTGGTTCCTAGGATTCCCAGCATCGGTTTGCAAATGCCTCATTGGTTAGGGATGGATGGAGACTCTGGTCATGTACAGAACGCGGTTCCTTGGTTAACGACTGGTTTGCAGGTCAGTCATTCGGGCAGTATCCCACCGTGCAGCAATTCAGGGATAACAAGCCACAATGACTAAGGCAAAAGCTTGCATGCTGTATTATTTATTTAGCGTCTTGTGTGAATCTTTTTTTTTTTTTTTTTTAGAAGTGGGGTGTCCTATGACAGGATTATTTCCTCCCCCGTGTAGAATCTCTTTTTGCAGATCAGAGTTTTTGTTTTTCTTCGATATTAAAACACATTTTGATGGGAAATGGAAAATAAAGGTGATGTTAATATCCCTTTCCTGCCCTAGTAATGGGTCTGGAGGGTAAAATTTTGATTTGTTGGTAACTCTAGTAGGCATACCTGTGATGAAGGCACAGATATTTAACAAAAGGAGGTAGCTGTATGGAAATCGTAATATGTATTGCCTCCCATTAATTTGGGGATGGGGGAGAAATGCATACATACCAATTTGTATGTAACACAGAAGCTTTCCATCAAACTGACTTTTAGAAAAAGAGCAGCAGTTCCGTTAGTTTTCTCTCTGACATGCATTTGTAAATTTGTACTGGTTAGATCAGCATTTATCATTTTATTTCCAGTTTTGTCTACAGCCTAGAATTCCTAATGGTCTCCCAATCATGTACTAACCAGAACCAAAATTACCCCCTTTTTCAAAAGCAGTCAAAATTGGTGGTGACTGCTACTTTAAATGTGTTAAATCTATATTTCAATTGTCTGTCTATAATTATAACATATAATGTAGCAAATGCCTGAAAGTGTAATATGTGTGCATCAGAATTTTGTGACTGCAAACACAAGTGAGGCAGATGCTTGTTGAAGAGCTGGATTGACTTGTAATTCCTTTTTAAATTAATGCTCAGTTTCACCCTCAGATTTTTCCCATATAGAATGGCCCTGGATGGCTTCCAACACTGCTGCTCTATTTTGCCTAACTTTCCTATTTGTTATGAAAAACTATTTCTGAATTTTCAGGTTGCAGAGGAGCACAGGTTGAAGAAATATGGAGTTTGGAGCCTGAGAACTTTGAAAAATTAAAGTAAGTACATTGCTTGTAGTTATTTACCTTTTGTATCCAGTGCTCATCCTTGCTTTATAAATTAGGTCCTGCATTTCCCTCCAGCAGACAAAGGAGTTTTTGTCGGAGATTCAGTCAAGCAATTCACATTATTGGAAAAACAAAAGAAGACACCTTTTAGATTCTAATCCTGTATAGTTACTTTTCTCTCAGATTGTGGGTTCCAGTGGGGAGGGGACATTGAATGCTGCTGGAGAGCTGTGGAGTTATTTGCTCTGCCTGTTACAAAGTGCCACAGTCTAGGTACTCCATCGCCCAGTAAGGAGCTATATATTTCATGCAGAATAGTTACAGAGGGATAGTATGACTTGTAAGTATGACTCCCCAAACGTTTTTATAAGGCATAATATTTCTTTTCTTTCCACCTGCTAAATCAGTTACTGTTCTGCGTTTTAATTATAATATATATGCAGTTAGTTTTATTTCCAGTCAGTAGTAATGTTTCAATTTTCAACGTGTTTATTGTGTTTTTCTTCATCTATAGGCCAGTCCATGGACTGATTTTTTTATTCAAATGGCAACCAGGAGAAGAACCAGCTGGTTCTGTTGTTCAGGATTCTAGATTAGATACATTATTTTTTGCTAAACAGGTATGGTAAATTGAGAAAATCTGTGTATTTTCTAGGACAGACTCTTTTTAAGTAAAATAAATAAAAATTATGTTCTAAAATATTGTGATACATTTAAATGAGAAGGAAACCTGGCAAAACAGGTTCAGTGAAGTTCAGATGATAATCATTTTGGGCATGGAGCCAGAAATGTATGTAATGTGAATTCATATTTTAATATTACTAAAGACATGCCTGTATTTTCTGATTCTAATCATGGAAAATGTTCCATGATCTGCAAAGCTGTGTGTATTTAGCTAGAAGAATGATATATAGTTTGCCTGTAGAAGCCTTTTTTTTAGCAAATTGATGGAGGATATATTTTTAAAACTATGAAATTTTCCATATACATTTCTTCAAATATTCTTTATTAGGAAATTGGGTTGTTTGTTTGTTTGTTTGTTTCAGAATTTTAATCTCTACAATATAAACCTCCAGAAAGAAAATCTCCAAGTATTTAACATGGAACAAAATTTGTTTGATTTGGAGATTTGATTTGATTTGATGTCCTAAGATAGCAAGGAATAATGCAGTACAGTTTAATTCCAATGGTATAATATATTTTGGGTCATCCATTTTTCATGAGGAAGTCATCCTTGTAAAGTTTAAGGGTGAGTGAGGTGGAACTTGGCAAGATGATTTTTCTAGTGTGTTTAGGGATAGAATGAATTGTGGCATTGCAATCACCACTGTGATCTGCTTCAAGAAGTGGTCTCTTTATCTTATTGTTTTGTTCTTGTCTGTAATGATTCAAATCCAAATCTATTACTACTTAGAGGGAGGTAAGCAGCAGAATTGCCATTCTTACTTTCTGATTTAATTTTTTTTTTTTTTGGAGAGATAATACGTTAACATAATCACATGAGAATATTCAGTTAACTCAGTTTAATTTGAATGGAAGATTGAGAAACAAGAATTTTACTTAATTTAAGAATGTGTGATGCACTAAAACATGGTCTAACATTTGATTTCAGAAAATAAGATTTCACTATGTACTAATTATTGCTTAAGTAAATCTTAATTCCTAAGTTTCCTTTAATTTCTATTTGTCTTTTTTACTTTTTTGTTTTGAATCCTTTGAAGGAAGAATTTCCATGTGCAGAACTCTTTAGCAGCCAATTGTTACTATTTCTTAAGAAAGCATGTGTATTTATGGTTTTCAGACAAGTTATTAACAAAGAAATTACTGACTATTAAAGCCCAGCAAGTTGAATGGCTCATGCAACCCTTAGCCCATTTAATAATGCAAACCAAAATATTAATAATGACAACCACAAACAAATGGTACAGTATGTGAAGCTGTTCAGGGCCAGTTAGGGGAATAGATGAACAGCTGTAAGCTGTTTATATAGATAAAGCTGAAGTATAAACCATTGCATCAAATATATTTGACCGTGCAAACATAGAACCTTGTAAACAGTTCTATAGTTGAAAGTGAGTTGCAGCAAGTAAAGTTAGTGATGTGTATAATTTGACTGCGCTAAATTAAATTATTTTTATACTCTTTACAGGTAATAAATAATGCTTGTGCAACTCAAGCCATAGTAAGTGTGTTGTTGAACTGTACCCATCAAGATATCCATTTAGGAGAAACGCTGTCTGAATTCAAAGAATTCTCTCAAAGCTTTGATGCAGCGGTATGTGTAAAATAGTTTTGATATTTTGGGGAAACATCTTGAATATGAGCAAACATTACATTATTTTCTCTTTCAGATGAAAGGCTTAGCATTAAGTAACTCAGAAGTGATACGGCAGGTTCATAACAGTTTTGCTAGGTAAGAAGACATTGAAATATTTCCCAAGTAAAATGTATTCAGAGGGTATGGTTGTAATATCCATTTGTGTGTTTCACTTCTCTTGCAGACAACAGATGTTTGAATTTGATGCGAAGTCAACAGCAAAAGAAGAAGATGCCTTTCACTTTGTCAGCTATGTTCCAGTAAATGGTCGATTATATGAATTGGATGGTCTGAGGGAAGGTCCAATAGATTTAGGTAATATTTTCATTTCACCTGTGTAGTTGTCTATTTTTTTTTTAATCTCAGCGTTTTTAACTGTACAGCATGACATTCTGAATATATAAATATTTTGGGGGCTACTGGCCATGTTTGGAATTTTGGGAGCAGATTGCAGATACTGTCAGAAAATGGCTGCCATGATAGATGTTATCAGTCAAAATTAATTTAACAAAATGTACATTTATACATTGTTCCCTTTCATTCTAACCCTAGAATACTGTTTACCATCCCAGATTACCTTTTTTTTTCCCCCTGAGTTGGTCACACTTCCAAAGAACTGGCCTGCAACCAACCCACCACTTTACTTTTTATGGATGCTTAGGAGGCCCATATGAATGCCAGAATCATTATTGGGAATAGTGATGACAGCAGACCTCATATAACAAAGATCAAGTAACTTGATTTTATGATTTCACATTGCAAGCATGTGTACATGTATTGATTTGTATTATTTGTGTACTTCCTGTTTAGGAGTATGCAATCAAGATGACTGGATCAATGCTGTAAGGCCTGTCATAGAAAAACGGATACAAAAGTAAGTGTTTCTAACTTGTATTTTCAGCTGTTTTGCTTATGAAAATTGAATGAACAGATTTAGAGTTTGTTCTTGGTAAGCTAGTTGAAGAGAATAAAGCAGCGGCTTTTCCTTATTCAGTTGTTTGGAGAAAACAGTTTTTTGGAAACTCTCATATGTCAATCTCGTGATCCACGGGCACATTTTTATTTGGCTAATCCAGGAGCAGTTATGTTGGAGTTGTTGGCATGATAGAAACATGGATCTAGTGTAGTCATATCAAAGCACCTGCTGCCATTTTTCCTAGGAAGGGAATATATGGAGATGATAATATGAAATGTATTATTTCATCCCCATTTTGATTTAAATTAATTACATTAAAACAGTGTTTAAAATTTATTTGACCTTCTGCAATATTTAAGCCTTAAACCTTAAATTGGCTTTCAGGTAAGCATAGCTGATAAGTGTACATCAAGTGATTGGAGTCATATCACAATGCTCTTAACCAGGAGTATGTTTTGCATGTATTGACAACTATTAAATTAACACTTGAAGGGAACTTAAAGGACTCTATTACTGAACATCTCCTTTTTTTTTTTTTGTGATAAATAGAGGGCAATATTCAGTTTGAATCTTTGCTTTGCTTGTCATGCATTATGAAAATGCTCCTAAATGATTTAATATCTGTGAGGCTCATAATGCAGTAACAACAATATGTAACAACTATGTTCTTATTTTGCAGGTATAGTGAAGGCGAAATAAGGTTTAACCTGATGGCAATTGTATCTGATAGAAAAATGATATACGAACAGAAAATTGCGGAACTGCAGAGACAGCTGGCTGAGGTATTTATCAATTAGATAAGTTTCTTTGTAATGGTTGGGATGTGAGGGTTAGTGAATGACCTAGGAACATCTGGTGCTACATAACATTTCAGAAGCTAAATAGCTGAGATTCATGTAAGAGTGATTTAGTAATATAATGCTATAAAGCAGGTATCAGATTTTTCTTGTTCCTTCTTTCCCCCTCACCCATTCAGTATCTAAGCATTGCGATTTTCTCTGGAAACTTGAAAAGCGTAAGTTAACAAGATGAAATTAAACAGTTTGTATCTTCAGTTTCTTACTTAATTTCAAAATACATCTTCCTGAAACTATTACAATTATAAATAATCTATCCATAATGTTTCCATTATTTTCCTAAAAAGGTAGATTCTTCTAAACAAAACTGCATTAAACGGACTATGAAAAATGTGGCTTCTTGGGTAGAATATCAAGCTGCAAAAAATTGCATTAGCAAATTAAGTGCAGTTTGCCAAGCATTAAAAGCAAGCACTAGAAGGCAGCAGAGAGCTGGACTGTTATGCTCTAATTAAGAAGTTTTTGTTTCATTTGATCAATAGTTCTGGAAAACCCAAAGGATTACATACAGTCTTGTAGCATTATGATTGGTCCTAAACTAATACTGCCCAAATCGAATAATACTGCCCAAATCCTATAAAATAAATATAGGATTTATTTTTCTGATATATTAGTATAGCTTTCTTAATATTTAAAGTTTTTAAAAAGAGTAGTGCAAAGGGCCTCTCTCTACTCGTTTTAACAGAAAGTCTGCATCTGATGCTGGAGCCTGCAAAGTCTGGAGTCAGCTCTTTGGTTCAGCATATATTATCCATGTTCTATATTTCTTGAATGGATGCTGTGTTTAAAATGCTGATATTCAACTTGATAAAACTATTTTTCCCAAAAGGAAGAGCCGATGGATACAGACCAGAGTAGTAATATACTAAGTTCCATTCAATCTGAAGTTGCAAAGTATCAGATGTTAATTGAAGAAGAAAACCAAAAATTGAAGAGGTACAAGGTATGTAAACTGCTCACTTTGAATGGTAAAAAGAGCTAATTTGTTTGAAATGTTAACCTTGTGCTGTGTTGTTCCCCACAGAGACGTAGCCACTTTCAGATAATGGTTTCTTTAGTGTTCAGAACAAAACTAATCTTAAAAACAAAATACATCCAAGATGAGGGTCATTGGCTGCCTCTTAGAATAAAAGACATTAATGCCACATCACCACTACCACCCATTAAAAATGACCCAGATTTCCAAAGTTATTGTCAAATTGCATAAACAAGAGCCAAGCAAATGAAGCTTTCCCTTTTTCTTCTTCCATAGTATGTTTGTTTACAGCTTTCCCTACTGTCCCTCCTATTTGCTCACACAGAATAAGTAAAGAGTGGGGAATAAGGGGCAACAGCAGTAATGGGTAGCAGGACAAGCAGGACAGAATGCCTTTGTAGCAACAATATCCATGGTTTGGTGTAGTAGTTAAAGCATCAGGCATCACTGGAGACCATGAGTTCTAGTCCTCCCTTAGGCACAAGGCCATCTGGGGGACCTTTGGCCAGTCACTCTCTCTCAGCTCTAGGAAGCAGGCAATGGCAAACCTCTTCCAAAAAACTTTGCCAAGAAAACTGCAGGGACTAGTCCAGGCAATTGCCAGGAATCAAGACTGACTTGAAGGTACGCCCCCCCCCAAAAGAAGGAAATACTGAGCAACTGACTAGTTGTCTAGTTCCTGCTTACTGTCCCCCCGCCCCCACAGGACATTCTAAAGCTGCTTACTACTTAGTTTCCATCCTGTTGTCTTCCCTGATGTATTTCTGCTACTGCTATAGCAGGAACAGTTGTGATAAGAGTTCATCTTAGTTTCTATTCCCCACTAAACAGAAGTTGCAGGTGAAGCCCAGCGGGAGTGAGAAGGTTGTGATTCACTGATACGTGCTTTTGGCATACATATCCTGTAGATTCTGTGGTTCACAACCAGTGTGGATCCAAGTCTGTTGGCTGGCTGGGAGCAAAAATTTGACCAGTGCAAATATTTCTCAATTGATTAGTAATATTTTGAATTTTAATTTCTTATTTTTGTCCTTTGTGTAAGATCTGAATGTGAGTGTTTGAGAATCATAGAGAAAAATCAAGTGGTAGACTGGGTTGTTTGCATATTCCTTTATTGAAATACATCAATTTCATCTTAAATTACTCAAAAGTAATAATTGCATTTATTTAATTCTTTTTTCTCCTGGCTCCACCCACATTTTTCTAGTATGTCTCTCAGCACCCATCTCAAAGACCAAACGCAACCCTTGCACCAAAAAATATTGTGTCCTTCCAGCTCAAAGAAATGAGTTTAGATGTTTTTTGTGGACCCAGCTTCACACTGGTTTCTCTGAGCATCTATCAACAGTCATCACTTTACATGGTTTCTTTATATTGCCCTATTGGACTTCTGATTTGCTTGTACCATGCCCAGAGGAGGACTCTGTTTCTACATTGCAGAGACAAACTGATATTGATGAGCAAACAATCTTTCAGCTAATCTTTTCTATCACTACCATATTTCTAATAGAAGAACTCCTGGTCAGTTTCTGCGGAACCAAAAGATTTCCCAGAGCACAGTTTGAAAATTGGAGTGGGGTGTGTATAGAAACAGAAAATATACCTTGGAAAATTACATTAGCAAAACTATTTATAAAGAAGAGTAAATTGCGTATGCTTCATTCATTTGCCTTCTGTTACAAAGCAGTTCTGCAATTTTACTGAAAGTTCAAAGAAAACATTCTCAAAGAACAATTCAGTCTTGTGAAAAGGTTAGGCACCCCTAATAAAATTGTATGTTTCAATAAATTCCTAAATGAACAGATGGTGACACAACATGGGATCTTTCTTTAAATTTATGCTTAATTATTTACATGTGGTTGTTTACAGATTCAAAATACAAAAAGAGTGAATGTGACATGCAGAAAAGTTTAGATACCCTTCCAGCTGATTCAGCATTTTGTTTTGTTTTTTACTGTAAAATGGTTAGTAAAGCCCAAAAGGTTAACTTGCTAGGTCTCCTGTTAACCCAGTGAAGACAATTACATACATAAACAAATACTCTAACTCTTCTAATTTCTCAGTTTGTGATGGTCTGCTTTCAACAACCATGGTTAAGCAGCTCTCTGAGCATTTGGAAATGAACAAAATTCATTCTTAAAAAGCAAGGGGAGGCTATAAAACAAATCTCAAAATGGTTCCAGCTAGCAAGTCCAACTATAAGAAACATTGTTAAGAAATTGAAGATAAATGAAACTGTTGAAGTCAAGGCAAGATCTGGAAGACCAAGAAAAATCTCTGTTACAACTGCCTGAAAGTAGGACAGACTTGCAAAATAGAACCTACAGTTTTCTGAAAACAATCTACTGAAAAGTTTGCTGACACTTGAATGGTTATCTCTGGGTCCTCAGTAGGTTCACAGTAGAGCATGGCTTAAACAACAATTTACATGGGAGAGTTGTCAGCAGCAGATCTTAACTGATTGAACTGTTTGGCCATAACCAGCAATATACACTTGGGGAGGTCTCAGGTGTGCAGGAATACTTCTGAGCTAGAAGAACAGTGAGGAAAAAAATCAAAAGCAAGAGTAGAAATCCTCTTAACTGGCTATAGGAAATAATTCAAAGCTGATATTTCTGCCAAATAAGATGTTAAAAAATAGGGACTGGAAAGGTGTCCAAACTTTTGCATGCTATATTCATTGCTTTATTTTGAATCTGTAGATCTGATTCTGTAATAAGTATGCATTCAGATTTTCAGAAATATACTGTGGTTAATTTTGTACCATGTACAGGCTATATCAGCTTCTATTCAGTTACAGATTAACTGAACATACAATTTGATCAGATTGTCTAAATGTTTGCATGCTACTGTACTTCATGTTGATAATAAGTAAAGTTTTTGTTTTTTTAAGTACAGGAATTTTGGAGGGAGCCTGATAACTAATTTTGGACTATTGTTTAGTACCTTTCTTTTAGACCTGAAACAATTTTCTTCTGAAATTATGTCCAGTAGCGCTTATTGAATTATTGTCTTAATCTGTTGGGCATACTGCTGGAGTAGAAAGATGCTTTGTCATTTAAGTTCATTCTTAGGACTGTGGAAATAGATAGCTCCCTTGTTCTAAGAGAAGCCTTCTTCAGTGAGCATTGTGTGAGAAGGCTGAATGGAGCCTTAATCTGCATTGTTGGCTTCCAGACTGGGCAGTTTTGCAAATGATTTGGGCAGTCCCACAGTCTGTGCCAAAGCTGCCCAGCCTAGAGCTCCTTTGGAGTCTTGGTCTGCCTGCAGCGTGCACTGAAGCCACTGGTATAAAGCTGTCTTGGTGGGCACCTGGTTTTGACCTCTTCCCAGGTTGGAAGCACTTCAGCCATTCCTGCAGAAGGATATTGAGAGGAACGTTTTCCTTAACACAGCTTGAAGTAGTTCCAGGTATCTCAAGATTGCTTTGGCAAGGTTAATTGCAGCATTTCTAGGCTTTGAGAAGGAGAATCACATTACCTCCAGGGTGTGAATCTCTTTGTTGAAGAGCTGCTTTGCTCAGGCCTATTCATTATATTTCATGGCAAGTTTTTAATCTCCCCTCCCCATATCTTTTTGAAATTTCTTTTCTACCTTGTTTCTAGGGGGCAGTGCAACCTGATCCCTGCAACAAGGTCAGATAGCTTGTAATCTAATTCATTTGGTTGCTGTTTTAAAATTCCTCCTTTATTTCAGCTTGCCTCCATAATTCTGAATGTATGATTCTTAATGGATCAAATAACGGTGTCACCTTATGTTTCTGTGGTCATTGTTTTTGGAACCAACCAGGTTGTTGAAATAGACAACTAAATTCAAGAGGTACTGCAAGAGGTACCTCATGTTGGAAGACTGGCATTTGTGCAACACTGCCTAATGAATGGGAACATAGTAATTTGAAATGTTCCTGTTCACAAAAAGAAGGCCTGACTTTGGTTGGTCATCTGACTTTATACTGCTCATGCAAAATCTATGTTGCCACTTGTTAATTGCAGATTAAGCTACATATTGCAGCTATGTTCTTAACTGTTTTCCCTGGTAAGACTGATCTCACAATCTCACAATGGGATTGTAATGTATATAATATGTGTTATTGTTCGATTTATATATGCACAAATAGTGTTTACATGATGGAATGTATATCATCTTGCATAAATTGTATAAGATTATAAACTAAGCTCAGTAATATAACTTTTGACAAATTCTGATTTTATTGGTTTATCATTTTAATCTGCCTATTCTGTAAATAGATTCTCATATTTTTAAAGTTAAAAAAACAGTTGAAATGCTAAAATATCTAAAAATGTAACAAACCAACAATATACTAATAGTCATTTCATTTATACAATCTCATCAAGTTTGGCAACACTTGTGTGAAACACAGTAGTGTATATATACGGTATACACCTTTGCATTACCTGCTGGCAAAGTAAAATACAGTGCAATACATATGTTCAAGTAGTCCCAGTTTAAGAATGAGTTCCGTTCCAAGGTCTGTCCTTAAGTCGAATCTGTATGTAAACCAGAACAATATAATACTGTATAAGTAGTATTGTGTAATTAACTTAAACTATTGTGTATTTAACTCGAATTTTGCTACAATAGGCTCTCCTCTTAACTATGGGTCATCCGTAAACAGGGCATTCTTAACCCGGGAACTACCTGTAATCCACCAGTTAGGGTTCTTAAGTTCCCACAGCAGTGTGTGTTTGAGAACAGTAATTCCGCCCAGAGTCACTGGTTTGAGATGGGTGGATGTACAAATTGAATAAATTATTATTAATAATAATATAATTTACCTGGCAGGTATGCAGTTGTGAGCAGTTTTCTTTTCTTGGGTCTTATGCTTAACTGCTTCTTTCTCTCCATGCTTCATTTCCACTTCACCCAACTCTTAATAGCAGCAGAAGCATGTCTTTTATACTGAAGTCATCCAGTAATAAGCCAGCCCAGTCACAGCATCAGAACAGTAGAAACACTCAAAATGGCATGGCTCAAAAGAGGCTTGGTTTGCTACTACCTCAGAACAAACCTTTTGGAATCTACATTTTGTCCCATGATGCTCAAAATGGCCATTTCAAATGTAAAACTAGACGGTTTTGCACATCCTTAAATGGCTAAACAATTGCATTGAAGATTTCCATTGAAGAAAGGATAACTACAGAATTCAGAGAACAAGTTACTTAACAGCCTAAATGTTCATTCTACCTCTTGAGGCAGTTAACCTTCCAGACTAAATCCATATTTGTTGCCAGTCACATGTAAATGCTGAGCTTAATTCTAAAAATTGCATTCACTGTAATTTAGATTACAGTATTGTAAAGAGCTGAATATATATCTTGACTGTGTGCAAGACTGAGAATGCCACTGTTATCACTGATAATTTTTTAACTTTCCTGGTCCAAAAGGATTATTAAGATAAGGTGGAAGAGTAGCTGAAATGCTCTTATTGCATCCATTAGCCATAATCTCTATCCTCCTCCCTTCCTTTTTTCCATCTCTGCCCCAATTCCATTCTAGAAACTCTGTAGTGCTTTTATCCAGGAGCTTGCCTCACAAATGTGATTCTGTGTAATGGAATCGAATGCTAATTCATGTCATGTTCCTTCTGTGCTTACAGATTGAAAACATTAGAAGAAAACACAACTACCTGCCATTTATCATGGAATTGCTGAAAACATTAGCAGAACATCAGCAATTGATTCCACTAGTAGAAAAGGTAAATGTTGTTTTATGAGTGAATTCTAGGCTTTTATGAATGTGAGGGTTTGAGAATAGCATCTGCCTGAATGGAAAATTAAAAGTAATCACTTGCAGATTTCTCTTTTGAAGAGAGATAAGCAAGAAGGCTATTGTGACAAACTTTGTGGTGGCTGTGCAACCACTAGATGGCATTCTCTAAGCATAGATGCATTCCTCTAAAAAGTTAACATGCAGAATACCTGTTATTTCTCTAACTACTTTGATTTGGTAGTGTTTTGCTCTATCCTCTGTGTTCCAGTTCTAGCTATAATACTGATTTACTGACACGGCTAAGTTCCAAGCACATTTGGGGAAGAAAGTAACATGTTTAGCCTGTCCCCTGTTCCCTTAGGGCTATTAAACAATGCAATGGTTCATCTAACCTGATTTTGATTCTTACCCTGAAACAGCTTTGGACATGTTCTTCCTTGGTACTCTAGATGTAAAATAGGAGATTCTAATGCTTAAAAAAATCCATTTAAATTTGTATTTTATCAGGCTTCACCAATGAGAAATATTTTTTTTACTTTTAAATGAACCACAATGAATACAATCAGTTACTTACCTTTCACAGTTTTAACAATATATGTTTATACCAGTTCAGTTCTTCACATGCTATCAGGCTGTCATCAGAAGATTTAAATACATGTTTGAGAATAAATTCTATTGAATGTTAGCAGGGGGGTCCAAATGTAGCCATACTTAAAGTATATGTGACATAAGTGACATTTAGTCATAGCTAAATTAAGTCTTATTGACTTTAGTAAATCATGTCTAAGTATGAATAACATTGGATCTAGCTCTTTGTAGCTTATGTGATGAATTGCAAAGGTCTTGCTCTCTTTTAACATGAGTATAATTTGGTGTCAAAACCATACTTAACATGCAGGTTGGTAGGGGGTAGGATATTTGTTCTTCAGAAGGAGTGTTGTCTAAACTCCTTTGTTTGTTGTCTAAATGATGTTAAACCTGCAGTTTTGATGTTTTCTGCCTGAAAACAGCAGAAATCCACACCAGCTATTTTTAACAATTATGTCAGATGGAGTTACAGAAACAGAGCTCATTGGTTGCAGGTTGGTCACTTTTGTCAAGGATCTTGATGCAGGCAGTTTAAATCTACTTTGATTCAATAAGAAGCTGGCCATTTTAGAAGAATATATCAGCCCTTATAAGTGCCCTTTGTTACAGTTAGGTGGAATGATTCTGATCGTATTGGTATGGTTTCAGATGGTAGCTACTTGCTGTTCCAGAGAGATCTTTATTTAAAGAAAGCTTCCTTCATAAGATCATTCAGATTGGTGCTTCACATTGAACTTGTTACAAATAGATTCATCATTTCATCAGCTGAGGAAAATGTCCTTAATTTTTCAGATATCATACAATATCTGGATTAAATTGGAGCTTTCTATTACATTAACAGCCAGTAATTGAGACTTAAAATAGCGGGTAGTAAACTTGTATACCGTAGCAGGGGATCTTTTGCCTATTGGACAACCTCAGAAGATATATTGGTATTTTTACACTTTTCATTGACCTTTCCCATAGTAATGTACAGGAACAAAATAAATCCTTTGAAATCTAGCTCCCTGTTTAGAATGTAGTGATCTTGAGATAATTGTCCCGTAACTGGCATTAATTTATATTGGAGTCACAAACTGGCAAGTTTTCAAATTCTACTTCTTGGTAAAAAGAGTTTTATTGGATCTTAACCAAAGTACAGTGAAAAGTTTTTCTAAAGGTAACCAGAGGAGATTTTTTTTAAAAAAAGTTATCAAGTTCTTTCTTTGGATATTAATGCCTAACTTATATAAGAGCATGCAGTTTTTATCTTTATAAAACACTAATTGCTATTTTGCTACTTGACACAGGGAAAGAAATGCTGATAATAAAACTTGATAGTTATAGTCAGTAGTTGTATAGAGCAATTTGAGATTGCATGTACCATTAATGTCTCATCAAGCTTTTAGAAATACAACAGCAATACTAGTGCTCCAGTGCCTAGCTCTAGCTCTCAATGCCCAATTATGTGGATTTATGTCCTGCCTTTTCTCCAGAAGCTCAAACAAGCTTACATGCAGATCCCTATTTTATCCCCATGACAACAACAGTTTGAGGTAGATAAGATTAAAAGAGAATGACTTCCTGAAAGTTCACCCAGTGAACTCCCATGGCCAACACTTGGCCAGTATACCATACTAGCTGTTCTGCAATGCTGTTTTGAGAAGTGAAGCAAACAGGGATTAGCAGAAATTATGATTCTTCCTTAAACAGGGAGCGTCTGCTGCATCCTGATTCGCTCCACAAATGGATGGAGGTGTTCTGCTTGCAGAAGGGCAGGACTACATCAGCATGGATACATTGGCTGACAGATAAGGTGAAAACCTCAGCTGAAAATCATAAAGAATGGTTGATCTGTAGTATGTCCTGTTCATTTATTAAATATTTCAAGAGAATGCAGAATCTTGTAAATGTTGAGTTACAGCAAAAAAAAAAAAAAAAAACACCTGTTATTAAAACAGTGCAAAATGCTTTCTATCTGCCTTTATTTTCTAGGCAAAAGAAAAACAGAATGCTAAGAAAGCTCAAGAGGCCAAATGAAGACCAATGTCTTTACAGGGTGGCTGTCTGGAGAGGAAAATGTGCTTCTGAATGTCTTTGTAACCTTGCAAGACTTGTACAGTTTAAATTTGTCCAGCACACATTTGCAGATTTGTAACAGTTTGTCCTGTCTCATTTGCACGGGGTCTACAAATCTTCCCTTTTTCCCTGTTGCTATCATGTGCATGAACTACCACTCAGTAATGGTTTTAGAATCTCTGTCCAATTCCAGTATATAACAGTGATTTCTGACTGATTCTTCATATTTAATCAGGAAATGCTGCTGCAATTTGTATAGACCCAAATTGGTGCAAGTAATGTAGAACTTTTTACTGTAATGAACATATTTAAAATATCTTGTCTCTTAATGAAGCCGTGGATATATAGTTATGTGAAGAGAGCTTAACTTATTTTTACAAATAAGTTGGCCTATCTTTGCTTGCCACCACTACCTATCTTGGTCTTGGAGTTGTTCAGTGACTTGCCCTGAGTTGTTTTTATGGAGTTATGTCTACATTTTCTACACAACTGAAAGTAAAAATTTAACAGTGAAATGATTGACAAAGACCAATGCATAAGCGTAAGAGTTTATTGCTTTAGTAGAAAAAATAATAAATATTCCCATTTTTATTTTGGCAAATTATTGTATGGTATGATAATTCGATATACTGTATGGATAATATGATTTTGTGGGGAAAAAATTCACTTCTCTTGAACACTCTCATCCCTCTACAGCAGTATTCCTTTCATATTAGCCCCGTGGTCTTCACCTGAGTCACACAATCTACTGCTCTTGGGAGCAGAGTGACATTGCAGGTGGCTGTACTAGTAAATATAGATTATAGAAGTGATTGTAGTACTTGGGGAAGGGTATTAGAAGCCTTCCTCAAGAAGTGGATACAGGATTGGGGAACCAGGAAAAGACTCCCAACTCTAATAGAAGATTTAATTAAGTAGTTCTAAATTCCAGAAAATTGGATTAAATGAGTAAGCCATGACTTGGGAAACATGCCATGCAAATGCAGTCAGTGGAATCCAATCCTTCATTAGTTGCTTCTTCCAAATCTTTAGAACAGATTTTTTTTTCTTTTCAGCAATTATTATAGAAATAAGTCTCAGTACAGGAATGATAATTTGGACAAATCTCAGATCTAGCAGTTTTTGTCAGTTTGAAAGTCCACTGAATTATGTTCTGTTAAATTGAAAGTTTATGGTATATTTTTAAAAAATGGGAGAAGAACCTGCTCTTACCTTAAAGGAGTGCTGTTTATGACAAAACAAGCAAAAGCAAGAGTATCCAGACAAAAAGTGTCCCTTAGGAAACAGAAAAGTTGGCGAACCCATGCCTTGCATCCTTCATCTAGGTGAGAGGCCCCAAATTATGTGCACTACAGATCTTAACATCCCTGATTCTTCAGCTGACTGTGGCTGCTGAGACTTATAGGTTGGCAGCATCTATTGAACCTTGGATTTCCCCACACGTGATCTAGGATCTTGGGTGCCTTTATATTACTGAATCATATTTCTGCATTGTGGACTTCTGCAGAGTCCAATGTGTCCAGGTTTGAGGCACTATATTTGAAGGAAGTGTATAAATCAGCAACAAAGACAATCAAGGAACTGGAGACATAAGATTGAATATGTTTAGCCGAGGAAGAAACGAAGAATGGGCATGCTAGCCCTTACCAAGTGCCTTAAAAGTCACACAGCAGCTAGTCAAGATTTGTTCTCCGTGCCCTGAGTGCAGTACTCAGAACAATTGTTGTTATAATAAAGTAGTTTATGATTGAACATTAGGAAAAATTTAATAAAAGTGGGTGCAGTTTGATAGCAGAACCAATTATGAGAGAGGTGGTGAGCTCTTTGCTGAATGTGATCAAGCAGATGGACAAACATCTGTTGGGGATGCTTTAATTTTGAGTTCTTCACTAAGCAGGGTTTGGATTTAATGGCTTAAATGGTTCTCTTTCCAATTCAGTGATTCATCCCTAGGGGCTACGACAGTTGTTGCCAATGGAAAAACTTACACCAAAAGTCTCACATTATAAAACGCTGGATATTTCCTTAAATTGGTGAATCAGCTATCCCCAAAAGGAAAGATTGGGCTTCAGTATATACTGAAGTTGCATCGGGCAGTTGGGTGGTCTTTCATGTTTATATCCTGCCCTTCTGTTTTGTAATCTGAGATTCTTAAATTGACTTAGCATCTTAAACAACAAACACACATAAACGGAGAAAAATGGACAACAGCAGATTAAAAAGTCATGTTTTTCAGGCCAATCTGAAAACAGGAATCAAATATCAGTTAACAGAGGAAAAGTTTACAGCTAGTGCCACGAGGCCAAGAAGCTGCTGGCTTTTCTAGGGTAGAACATTCCATATGCAGATGCTAACACAGCAAAAAATAAAGTAGTACCCCTTGTATGTTGTACCTATGCTGGTAGCACGGTAGAGATTGGGGCTTCCTCAAAAGACATGAGATGGGACAATCATTTATTCTAGTTCAAGCTGTGACAGATTTATAGAAGAATTAAGCATCACAAATAATCAAAGGCGGGGATCCAAGCTAGACTGCCCTACACAATATCAAGTACTGCTAGTAAGATTATGTATACCAGGGATTCTCATACTATGCAACATAACTCCTGGGGGATCACAAGCAAATCTGAGATAAAATTGGGTTGGGGCTTGCATACACGTAACTAGAGCACTGTCAGAACCTGTTCTGTTTGGTGAGTCTTGAAAGGGCTTACGCACCCAAAGCTGGATTGCTGTTAGAACTCTTGCTTAGCCTGGACAAGCCAGCAGCTGGCTTGTTTTGGAGTGAGTTCTGTGAGCCTCACCAGTGTGCACCAAAAGCCAAGTCACTCATAATTTGTTCCTGCTCTGTCTGGACAACCCAGCAGCAAAGTCAGGATCTTCTACAATTGCTGCTTTAAAGAATGTGTATCAATCCAAATTAAATCTGGAATGGAAAATGGGAGTGATGGTAAAAAAAAAATTAATAATAATAAAGGCAATTTTAGAATTTAGACAAAACTAAACAAGCTCATCCTGTATGTTTATGTATGTGTGGGTGCATGCACACATAGATGATTTTAAATTTGATTGCTTTATTATTTATTTCCAATAAAAAGTTTTTACCTTATAAAGTTACAAGGTTCTATATTTGTTTTATTTGATACATAGGCTAACATTCAATTATTAAAAGTAATTGTTACATTTATTTTTCACATTTCTTTAGTGTCATAAGAGTCAGGGCACTGTACCAAAAGTATCAAGATAATAGCTCTCCTTAGACACATTTTGTACCAGCTGTATCTTTACCAGCAGCCACATATAGAGTAAGTTACAGTAATTTAACCCCAGTGAAATCATTAGTTGCATTAATGGGGGGGGGGCATTTTGTAACATTCATTTATCATTTTAGGGGTCTAACACTGCAAAGGTTGAAAAACCCTGATGTAGACTAATCAAACTGTGTTACTCCTAACTTTAAACTAAATATATGGTATTTACATTATTTTTAGAGCAATTACTTTCTCCTAGTACTTTCTATAATCTCTAATTACCCCTTACAATGCCAGGGTAATATTTTCTGCAGTAATTAAAGCTGATGGTATCCCTCAAGATACATCTCTGCTTTTTCATTGCATGTGAAAAACAATGTTTAGAAGAAGCCAAGCATTTAACCTGCACAAGAAATGTTGTCTATTAGTCCTTTAGAAATCAACGTTTCATTAAGGATAAGAAAATATAAAGATGATGCAAGCCTGATACTGTAACATATATAGTTTATTTGATAAAAGAGACTTAATTAATTCTCTAATACATTCACTGCCTGTAATTACTTTTTCAATTCATACATACAATACCTTTGAGACGTGACTTGTAGGATTTTTTCCTTCAGAGGAGCAAAGAAAGATTGTGCAAATTACACAGATCAAAGCATATATTGCTTGTTTCTTAATTTTACATATAAAAACTGTTACTGATAGCTATATAGATCAATGACTAGGGTAGAATAAGGGAATAGTGTCTCTCCAGTTTGATATCTAAACAGGCAAAGTAGGACAAATGGGGGGAGGGGAGGAGGACACACTATCTTTTTAGCTTTCTTGGCATCTGCAACTAAATTTACAGTGAAAAGCTGCCAAAAAAAAAAAAAACCTTACTTAGGCCTACATGTATAGTAGTCCCCAGGTTAAGAACGTCCAGTTTACAGACAACCCATAGTTAAGAATGGAGCCTATTGTGGCAAAATTCAAGTTAAATACACAATGATTCGAGTTCAATACACAGTGGTTTGAGTTCATTACACACTACTACTTATACAGTTTTATACAATAATACTGTTCTGGCTTACATACAAATTTGTCTCAAGGAC